TCCAAACGCTCCAAGCGCCTTTTTGGCACCCCCAACCCCGCAGGCAAAGGCACCAGGGCCCCATCAATAGCTTTTTATTGGCGTTCACGCCTGCCGTTTGCCAGGCCTCAAACCTTCCAAACTTTTTTGGCACCCCCAACCCCGCAGGCAAAGGCACCAGGGCCCCATCAAAAGCTTTTTATTGGCGTTCACGCCTGCCGTTTGCCAGGCCTCAAACCCTCCAAACGCTCCAAACGCCTTTTTGGCACCCCCGACCTCGCAGGCAAAGACACCTCAGCCACCCTCCAAACGCTTCAAACGCCTTTTTTGGCACCCACAACCCCGCAGGCAAAGAAACCAAGGCCACATCAATAGGTTTTTCTCGGCGTTCAAGCCTGCCGTTTGCCAGGCCCCAAACCCTCCAAACGCTCCAAATGCTTTTTTTTCCACCCTCAACCCCGCAAGCAAAGGCACCAGGGCCCCCAGCAATCGCTTTTTATTGGCGTTCAAGCCTGCCGTTTGCCAGGACACCTTTTTGGCACCCCGCCTGCCGTTTGCCAGGCCTCAAACCCTCCAAACGCTCCAAACGCCTTTTTGGCAATAGCTTTTTATTGGCGGTTTTCCAGACCTCAAACCCCCAAACGCTCCAAATGCCTTTTTGGCACCCCCAACCCCGCAGGCAAAGGCAATAGTGTTTTCTTGGCGTTCAAGCTTGCCGCTTGCCAGGCCTCAAACCAAGCGCTCCAAACGCCTTTTTGGCACCCCCAACCCTGCAGGCAAAGGCACCAGGGCCCCATCAATCGCTTTTGATTGGCGTTCAAGCGTGCCGTTTGCCAGGACGCCTTTTTGGCACCCCCAACCCCGCAGGCAAAGGCACCAGGGCCCCATCAATCGCTTTTTATTGGCATTCAAGCCTGCCGTTTGCCAGGCAAGCCACCCTCCAAACGCTCCAAACGCCTTTTTGGCACCCCCAACCCCGCAGGTAAAAACACCAAGGCCCCATCAATAGCTTTTTCTTGGCGTTTACGCCTGCCGTTTGCCAGGCCTCAAACCTTCCAAACGCTCCAAACGCCTTTTTGGCACCCCTAACCCCGCAGGCAAAGGCACCAAGCCTCCAAACGCCTTTTTGGCACCCCCAACCTCGCAGGCCAAGACACCTCAGCCACCCTCCAAACGCTTCAAAAAGGTCATATATATATATGGGGGTTGTCCAAAATACCTTTTCCCGGACAGCCCTCAATCGCTCAGCCAATCGCGTAGCAACCGCGGTACCACAGTGAGCAATCGCGGAAGGGTTTGTTCTTCGTTGATCAGATCATATACATAAAATATAAGTTATGTATTATATAATGAGGATCCATGCGTGAACGCATTCGATTTCAAATTTGGAACAAAATAGGCTCGCGCGGTCCGGAAACGGTCCGGAAAACTCACAGTAGTACCAGCAGCAGTAGTACTAGTAGTACTAGTAGTACTAGTAGTACTAGTAGTACTAGTCGTAGTAGTAGTAGTAGTAATAGTAGGAGGGGTAAGAGTAGGAGTAGGAGTAGGAATAGGAGAAGGAGTTCTAGTAGCAGGGCAAGGGAAGAAAGGGAGAGGGAGGGAAAGAGAGAAAGAGAGAGAGAGAGGGAGGGAGGGGGAAACAGATGGTTGCGTTTGACCGGTTTCTGACGGGTTTCTGACTGGTTTCTGACTGGTTTCTGACTGGTTTCTGACTCGTTTCTGACCCTTCAGCGGAACTCGTGTCAATTGGATTTAAAAGCAAGAGCAGAAATTCCTAGGTGTACTAGTGGTAGTGGTGGTAGTGGTGGTGCAGTAGCAGCGGGTGTGGTGGTAGTACTAAGAGTAGTAGCAAATCTAGTAGTGGGAGTAAGGATCCATACGTGAACGCATTCGATTTCAAATTTGGAAGCAAAATAAGCTTGCGCGGTCCGGAAACGGTCCGGAAAACTCACAGTAGTACCAGCAGGACTAGCAGTAGCAGTAGCACTAGCAGTAGTGGTAGTGGAAATTGCAATAGGAGTAGGCGTAGGAGTTCTGATGGGAGGGTGAGGGAATAGGCAAGGGAGAGAGAGAGAGAGATTGCGTTTGGCCGGTTTCTGACGGGTTTCTGACTGGTTTCTGACTGGTTTCTGACTCGTTTCTGACCCTTCACACGAGTGCAATTGGATTTAAAAGCAAGAGCAGAAATTCCTAGGTGTACTAGTGGTAGTGGTGGTAGTGGTGGTGCAGGGTGGTGCAGTAGCAGCGGGTGTGGTGGTAGTGCTGGGGGTAGTAGCAAATCTAGTAATGAGAGTAAGGATCCATGCGTGAACGCATTCGATTTCAAATTTGGGAGCAAAATAAGCTTGTGCGGTCCGGAAACGGTCCGGAAAACTCACAGTGCACTAGCAGTAGCAGTAGCACTAGCAGTAGTGGTAGTGGAAATTGGAATAGGAGTAGGCGTAGGAGTTCTGGTAGGAGGGTGAGGGAATAGGCAAGGGAGAGAGAGAGAGAGGTTGCGTTTGGAGTAGGAGTAGGAGTAGGAGTAGAAGTAGGAGTAGGAGTAGGAGTAGGAGTAGTAGTAGTAGTAGTAGTAATAGTAGCAGTAGTAGTAGCAGTAGTAGTAGTAGCAGGAGTAGTAGTAGTAGTAATAGTAGCAATGATAAGAGCTGAGGTGGATGGATGGATGGATGGATGGATGGGATGGCTAGGCAAGTGCTGCCTTTTTGGTGTTTCTGACCTGTTTCTGACCTGTTTCTGACCTGTTTTCAATTGGAGCTAGCTTGAATGTCCTTCTGACCTGAAAACATCTGCGCGGATTCCGCGCGCGCGGAATCCGCGCGGCCATGTCAATTATTGACATGGTTCTGGTCTCGAAAGTAGTAGTAGTAGTAGTAGTCGTCGTCGTCGTCGTCGTCGTCGTCTCGTACTAGTAGTAGTAGTAGTCGTCGTCGTAGTCGTAGTCGTAGTCGTAGTCGTACTCGTACTAGTAGTAGTAGTAGTAGTCGTCGTCGTCGTCGTCGTACTCGTACTAGTAGTAGTAGTAGTAGTAGTCGTAGTCGTAGTCGTAGTAGTCGTAGTAGTAGTCGTCGTCGTCGTCGTACTAGTAGTAGTAGTAGTAGTAGTAGTAGTCGTAGTAGTCGTAGTAGTCGTAGTAGTCGTAGTAGTAGTAGTAGTAGTACTAGCAGTACTAGTAGTAAAAGTAGTAAAAGTAGTAAAAGTAGTAGTAGTAGTAGTAGTAGTAGTACTAGTAGTACTAGTAGTACTAGTAGTACTAGTAGTACTAGTAGTAATAGGGTGGTAGCCGTATAACCAATCGCCAACCAATCGCTCAGCCTATCGCGATGCAGGTTTTAGCAATCGCGCAAAGCAAAGTAAACGCATCAATTCATAAATTTGTGACCTGCTTTTACGGACGGCTCCCATATATATATAAATATATATATATATATATGTGTGTGTGTATATATATATGTATTTATTCATCTGGCTATTTCTTTATTTATTCATGTTCGTTCATTTACAGTCTATGCGCACATTCCTTCCTCCCCCTTGAAAGGGGGTCGGCGGCACCAGGGCGTTAGCGCATTTATATTGTAACATTAACAGGGGATTTACATGGATTTATATACAATGATTTACACAGATTTTATCACATTTTGTGGGGACCATTTGGCGGATGTTCAATCTTTGGGGTGGGATCCAAAACATGGGATACTGGCCACGGCTCCTGGGCGGCTTGAGCAGCACCGGGGCCCTCGCACTCATCGCGCAAATGTGGGCCCTGAGCACCCAGCTGAGCTACAGAAAATGCGTCGTGCAGAGAGAGAGAGAGCGAGACATATCAATATAGTATAATAATAATTAATAATAATGATAATAATATGGGTATAATATGGTATAATAACATAATATAGATCTGTTATATAATTGTGTTATGTGGGGTCTATCATATGTATGCAATATGAATGTGTGTGTGTGTACGTGCGTGTACATATGGTAGATATGTCATAGAGTCATAGGTATAATCAAAAAGAAATAAGCATAATTAGCTGGCTGGTACTATCAATTCCATAAATAGGAAGGATTTTTTGGTCTTTTGCACCTTCATGTAGCATATATGTGGCAATCAGACACTTTGTGTGACAACCGACCCGAAAGAAACATTCATGTTTAACATAGTATGATAGTGTCCAATATAACATAAAATACAGCAACGTTTGGGATAACAAGAAACCGAGACAAGACTTTGCTGCGAGAAAAAAATGGTCTCCGCACCAGCGTGGCGATCTCGATGACTTGCTTGCCTGGAGTCACAAATGACTTGACTTGTATGCACTTTGTCTTCTGTATCTGATGTCTTGATCAACAGTGACATACAGTGACGCTCGTCCGCTAGTGAAAGCCTGTCTCTCACACAAAAACATCGCAGAGCGTGGAAAATGTTTCACCAAGGCGCAGTACTGGCATTGTGTCAGCATTGGGCACCTTGGGACCCATGTAATAAGCACAGACTCTCGCAACATCAGGGTCAAACCTCCGTGGAAAGGCGGCTCAGTAACATTTAAGAACTGCACCTTTGACCAAGATCAAGCCAACCAATATGTCACAATATACATCTCTGTATACAGTATATTATATAATATTATATAATATATAATATTATAATATATTATATATTATGACTGTCATATGACCTTCTACTCACCCACCTGTACCTTCTCAGTGTTGAGGCCCCCAGACTCACGCCAGTAGTGCACGTCCATCGCCTCCTTGCAGGGGAATTTGCAGAAGGATCTGGAAGACTCGCACGACACAATACGATACATATCGATACATCATGATTAATCATGATGCTTTGCCTCCTGCATCATATCTGCATCATATCTGGACTGTTTCATCCTGCTTCTGCATCTGAAACTACGCAGCATGCCCCATAGATATCTGAAACCTGAGAGAAGTCCACTACACCCGCTAGTGCCATGCCTCTTGCATGCTTCTAATCTCCAAACAAGCCATCCATGGAAACACGACAGCATTCAAGAAAACTCCTGAGTTGCTTCTGCATTGTGCATGCCGCAGAACTGGCAGGTTGTCAAGTCCTGCCACATTGACATGGATCCATGGAATACACAGTCTCGGAGCATTGGGCAAGGCAGGCACTCAGCAAGGAATCGGGAGCATATGGAGCGGTTTCTGAGGTGCTCAACGAGGTGCAGTTATAAAACTTCGATGACTCAACGATGCACTTGCTGAGCGGCGCTAGACTGGAGTGGCTTCCCAACATGCCATCTATTGTTCTGTGAACGCGACGACTTAATAATTCAATATGTCTACCCTTGAAGTGCAATCATTTACCAAGTATGCTATCACAAACCGGTACGAACACTTACACACCCAACACATGTAAGCAGCTTCTCAAAGCACATGTCCCCCAAAAAGAAACAGATTCTGCCACGCCTCTGGCTCAGCTTCCTCACAGCCAGGGAGGGGTACCACTCCAGTCCCATTACGCTGTCCCCTCGTCACAATCTCAAAATTCAGGAAACGGGAAGCTGTAAAATGCCTACAGAGTTTGCCGATGATTGGTGATCTACAACCATCAAGTCAGAACACGCGTGGTCAAATTCAAGACAATGGTCATACATATAAGATCATATAAGTGAGAGTGAATCTATTCTTAAATCACAATTAATAGCAGCTAATCATATTACCGTAACATCTCCGCTTAAAGATGTTAAAGCTACTCGTCTAAAAGCCACTTTGATTGGCGTGCTGACATGCACTAGAAACATCTTGGGCCACTAGACTCACTAGTCACTAGACCATAGCACGCCATGCAACACCCTACTCTCTGTATCTGTATCTCTCTATTCCCTTGTACTCAACATACTCAACCTACTCAACCTACTCAACCTACTCAACCTACTCAACCTACTCAACATTGAATTCCCTTGTCACATCGTTGCCACTTCTCCTCGGGAATGGGCACCGCCTTGGCCGGACCTGCCAGTATCCAACAGTGCTACAGTAGAACTATTCAGTTGTTAAACTGCTTGGAAAAATCCTGGGTTGCTAAACTCTCCCACCAGGGACTTGCAAGGAAAGCCTCTTTATTTCATTTTATTTCCATCCATGCCTCAAGTGACTTGGCCAAATCTTGCGGCCGAACAGGTGGCGTCAGGCGGCTTGGCATATCAACGAGACTGCTTGGCTTTGGCACTCCAACTATACTTCACTATATTTCACTGACCTTGCAAGTTCGTACCATCCAAATACTATTTAATTATAGCCGATATAGTCTAAGATCCTTTCAATTGTGGCTACACCAAGTACATGCCAAGTGGTTGCACGTCTCCACGTTCCATGGCTACATATGGGATCATATGGGTACCAAAGCCAGGAGTCACTCGCCAGCTGCGCCGCGACGCGTCAGCATATCAAACTGTACAGGGAAAGTACAGATTGGGCAGCTTGGATGGGGGGAAAAATGAGCCTCTGCTCATTCCATCACGAACTGGCAATCTATGGCAATCTGTTAGATTGATTTGTAATGGCATATTATCACTGACGATGCCAGGGCCATGGAAAAAACAAAAACATGAGCTATTATCATTATGCGGCGGTTGCACGGCAGCCGCTGAAGATTGGACTTCCTGCGAGGTCAGCTTGTCCTGGGAAGCTGCTTCTGAGTCCTGCCAGTGCCGAGATGTTGCCTGCGCCTCTCAATAAAGTGCTTGAAGCCCAACTGATGCTCCTCGACCCTGTGCCTGAAAGCCTCGATCTGCGCCGTCCAAAGGTGATGAGTCAAGCCATTGGGTGCTGCTGGTGCATTTGGATCAGGTGCAGTCCAGGAGTTGAACGAAGACCATAGGGTCGGATCCCACAACGGTAGCACTCCGGGAAGACTCTTGCTCTCTTTGCCTTCTGTCTCAACCAGTGACAATGTCGCTGGAAGCGAAGGAGGGTCGATCGAGGTCAAGTCAGAATCGTCAAAAAAGGTATCATCAACTTTGCGGCTGCTCTTCACATTTCCGATCTTGCTGGAAGGGCCCACTACTGGAAGTGTTGCCTCGCGCACCGCAGAGCAAGCAGCCAAATATGTCTCTGATGCTTTAATTACCGAATTTTAAATCACACTCTCTGTCAGGGAGGGGGTTCACCGTGATTCACCTGTTACCTACCATCAGTCAAGGGGCGGGCTGAATAAATGCACTCATCACTTACTTACATCCACCCTTTAGCTGTTGTGCAAGATGGATGCAGAACCACACTTGCTCTTTCAAAAATGTACATGCTGTATATCACTGTATGATCATCTGTGTGAAAGGACATTCGCCCATTCGCGAAAGTACTGTACAGAGTGCACTCAATCCACCGCACAGGCACCCCTTTCACCACCCACAGCCAGTTCTGGCAGAAAGTTTGGTAATGTTCTCTTGGCGTTCTGTTCTGCAAACTTGAGTGAGGTGGCGGAAAAAAAAGGTGCAGATAGATGCAGTGAAAAACACATCCGCGTCCCATGACGATAGGAGGGCAACAATTTATCCTGCTATGTCGGCAAGTGGCAGTCAAAATGCGAGGTGTCCTCGTGCATTGCGCCCCCCTATCCGCCTCGTTGTGAGTCATCAAGCACAAGCCAGACAACATTGCAACCACACGCAGCTACTGCAGAAACGTCTCTCAAACTATCTGCTTGAGCTACAATGCTTGACCGGCACCCGCCCCGTGGAGAATGTAATTCCCGGAAGCCGAAGGAGATCGAAGGAGCCTCTTGCAAATGGGTGACATGGGTGCAAAATGGCTCTGCTTGGTAGGCTCATGTAGGCTCGACACATGAATGAGCGCAGGAATTCCGACTGTGACGGCTGGCGTAGAAATGCGAAAATACAAAACCCCCTTATCTCAAGCCGTAGTACATCGCAAACATTACATGGCTTGATCCGATGGACAATATGCGAAGCCATGTTGCTGCCATGTTGACAGCCAAGCAAATGTGCAAGCGGCTCATCTTTTTACTCAGAGTTCACTGTGCCCAAAGGGCCGCGCGGCTTTGTCATCTAGCCAAGCCAAGAAGGAGTCCTGGGAGCTGATATAAGGGCAAGGCCAAATTGACACAAATGCATACAAATGCACTTTCAACACGCCGAAGTGCGACAAACAAGCCTCTGCGAAAGTATGAGATCATATAAATCCAACTTAAAAGGCACCAGCTGGCAGCTGACGGACCGCTGTTTAGGATGGTGCAGATATGTTCATGCATTGTTCATGCGTGTGCCAATAAGGTTGGAGGCTAGTGTTCCTTCGATCACTTTCCAATCAGTTGAAGCAGACTCTGAGCAAAGGACACAATTTCAGGCATGATATGACAGGTTAAGAAGCACAGCCATATTAGTATAGTACTTAATTGCTCGTGCAGCTGAGGCACCACATCCCGATCCCCATCGTAGTCAAGTGGTTCCTCCTGTCAAATTCTCCAAGTTGCATCGCATCCTTTTTTTTTGCTGTTCTGAAGGCTCACCGTCTGGAAATGATTCTGATTCTCTTGTCTTATCTCATTCTTATGTATCCTGGAGCCCTGGAACAGTGTGTCCAACTTTTTCTCCCCTCCCTTCGGACTTCGGACTGCTAAAACAATATTGAAACGACTTGACTTTTCTACAAAATGCTGAGTTTGCTTGTAGTCCACAGGCGTTTGCAGAATCAAAATACACAGCTGCGCGCTTTTGCATGCCGCAAAATGGGACACAGTGGCAGCAATTGCTTTTGGGGTCCTACATGTATCTAAAAGGATCCAAAAAGATTTGCTGCTACTGTATCGCTTGAACTAGCACGGAATTGTGAGGTCCTTGTTATCTGCTCGCCAGAACTTGATCGTCGGAAAGCCTTCAATGTCGACGCCGTCGACGTCATTGGCCGTTGCGTCAATCTTTGCAATCCTACGGCCACAACAGCTTGCTAGGCCACTGGAAATGATGTTAGAAAGAGTAGTTGACTTTGCTTTGTCAGGTTTGTCGGGGCTGGGGTTTCTCAGGTTTGCCCCAATTTCATCTGGAAATTGTTTGCCTGATTTGCCTCTTCGCATCCGGCAAAATATGCAAAAACCATGTGTGACGAGTCTTAATCATCAATATTATTACAGTGCAAACATAATAAACACGTCTCAACGGGAGCTGTGGTGGACTGAACACAACAGCCAGAAAAAAAAGGCAAGTAGAGGCGAGGGAGATCGCATAAGATCCGAACAGTCCATGAGCGTAGCTACCTTTGAAGTGGTGTAGGTATGCAAACGAGTTGCACAATAGATGGCACACTTTCTAGTCTCTTGGCCTCGGCTTAAAGGGTTGTGAATACTGTCTCTGTCACAAGCCATGACTCTACCTGCCACAAACCTACAAATGAACTCTCTTCATGGAGGACGCCATCGAACAAAACCTTCCCCGACAAAATTAAGAAATCCAAAAATTCAATAAATGGCCCCGTCTCATGTTGCTTTGTCATTGCGTGGAAAAAATGAAAAAAAAAAAAAAAAACTGCAAACCAGGCTTAAGAATTCGTCCATGACAAGGTGCCACTGATGCATAGACAGGCTCTAACTTCTTGCAATGTCCACACCAGGGAGCATAAAACTCCACCAGGACATCCTGGCCATCAGCAGTACTGTGGGATACTGTACTGTGGGATACTGTGGGAAGGTAGATGAAGGTAGTAGCTTTGCCCCACTTTCCCAGATTTCACATAAATCCAGCAGGTTTGCAGCAAGAAACCAATAATATGCAGCTATGAGATGCTATGAGTACATAAAAATATTTGAGAAGGTGTGAACGAATGGAAGAACCTATTCCAGCAAATATATATATATATATATATATTATATGCATGTGTTATATATGTATATATTATATTATATATATTATATATATTATATTATATATATTATATTATATATATTTATAAAGTATAGATGTTGAAACAGGGGAAAGGACGATAAGGACGTTGAACAATGGGAGGTTCGGGCACTCTATGCACTCCATGTCGACAAACTATATAATCCATGTTAATCCAAAATGAGCAAAAAACGTGTCACTTTTGAGCCACCGAGAAACAAACCTGCCGCATCCTCGGCACTCTCTACACATGAAGGAGGGGGGCGGCCCAAAACAGTGAAGTTTTATTTCTTAATCCCAAAACATTACTACAAGGCAAAACGGACCGCCCTACAATTAGTGCTCTGCTAACGCACAGTGTCTCAGGTAGCTGAGGCTACCCTACACTTCGTGACACAGAGAGCCATCATGAGCCGTCACAAGTTTAAAATATGTGTCCGAGTGCGAGAACAAAAACCAGAGTCAACCAGAGACATTTCAAAGCTGCGGATTGCAAGATCCACCAAACTGACAGGAAAATGCACTGTCACACATTGAAAGCATTTGAAAGCGCGATCCAATACAGCGGGAAGGTCCGTGCGGTCGTTACGCAAGCATGACTGCAGCTGCACCAATGAAGCGTGGAATGAAAGCGCGAACGGACTTGAACACTTTCTGTTTAAGGTTTGAAATGGTTTGAAAGCCCTTTGGGTTTCTCGGCAAGGACAGTTGGCGGGGTGCCTTTGCTGGATCCTTGACAATCGCCTCAAAGGTTGATCCGACCAAGGTGTGTACCTTGGACGTTGTGCCGAACTAACTTTTTGAGATGAAAAATGAATGACGTGAGAAGGTCACACAAATTCTCTTTAGAAAATTAAGAAAATTAAGGCAAAACCCTGATATGATTTCAACATGTTCTTAATAAAATTATATAAATGATTATAAATGTATGGTTCATTCTGGTTCACGCTTTTGAAATCTTTCGAATTTCTGAGAGAATCCTGGTGGCCTTGCAATCGGGTTGCTGGGCCTGGCTGGCTTGTGGGCACCGGCTCCTCAGGTTCACATGAAGTCGATAGTCCACAACGATCCACAACGGATGATCGGAGAACGGGACGTGAAATAGCTGTCGAATTCCCGTATACTTTCCCGTTTCATTCAGTTTCATTCAGTTTCCTCATTTATGCTGCCTGGTTTCTGATTGCAAGTACTTCTTCAGCCGTCCAGCTTCAAAGTCTTGCACGAACGAAACTAAGGACGCCTGGCCCAGGACACACAGAATGACTGGCGCAGGATGAGTGAAAATAGTCAGCATTCCATGTTTGCCATGCACACTACATCCTGCAAGGGCACAATTCAACAATCCGTCCGATGACCTTCGGACCATGACCTTGAAGAAGATTCACATTCCAAGCGAAACACCCTTCCATTCAATGTAAATTCTTACCGTTCAAGAAGACAAGTATTGTATAGTATTGTCTGGTTTGGGCAGGTTTCATTCCGTTACGAAAGTACCACATCGCATCACATCGCATCACATCGCCATCCCAGCCTCCGTCACATCAGCTTCCAGCCGATACTTTGCCATAGCGCCCTGAGGGTCTATCACCAGGCGGGCAGTCGGCAGCTCCTGAGTCTTGCATATCTTGCACTCAGTGTGCAATTTGGGCATTCTGTGTCATTCTGACCATTCCTCTCATGTTGATCTACTTGATCTACTCTCATACCTTCCGGCCGTCAGTCCCCGGCAAACAAAGGAGAAGGTGTTTCCTTCTGTTTCGATCCACACCAATAGGCTGACACCTACAGTACCATTGATGAATCCTCCCAGGTGAACATGGCATTGGTGCAGAACGTAGAAAGTTGCTTTGTTGCAGGTTTCCGCTCAGCTCCTCAACGTCAACGCTGACGTAATCCATCAACCGCTGGTCCATAGGTTCACCTATGGTACTCCCCGCTTGGAAGGCGCAGAAACCCCATGAGGCCACTGAAGAACTCAAGTGAAGAATGGTGAATAATTCATCAATAATCAAGGCCCCAAGGCCTCGAACGTGTCACAAACTATCACAAACTATTGCAACATCAGGGATAGCGATAGAAGCGCCGTACACTGAATAATATGATGGAAAGGCACTCGAGCCAGCCAAGGCCACCAAAACCTTTCGAGACATCTGTTTGGCCGCAGCACGCAGGGCTTGTTCTGCTGCTTCACCTTCCCAGTGGTTTTGGAGCTCCAGGATGATTCGAAATATAATGCAAAGGGGTTCGGACAATAAAGAATGGGTGGAGAATTGTTTTTTTTTGGGGGGGGATGAGTTTTTTTTGTTTTTCCCGGATTCCTGTTCCCTTATATTTGCAGCATTCAGAAGCTATAACCTTGGTTTTCACATGGTATTTGCACGATTTTGCAGTTCTTATGCTTGTCGGGTAGGGGGTGGGAGGGGTTAGGCGTTTAGGTGTGGGGGATGGGGGTTGAGGGGTGGGGGAGTTACGGGTTTGAAGTGTTTATTTTTTTCAAGGTGTTAAAAGTGTTGAAAGTGTTGAAGGTGTTGAAAGTGTTGAAGGTGTTGCTGTTGTTGCTGTTGGTGTTCTTGTTTTTGTTCTCGTTCTTCTTCTTCTTCTTCTTTTTTTTGTCGTTGCCGTTGCCGTTGTCGTCGTGGTTGTCATTTAGGGGCTTAGGTGTGGGGGGGTGGGGGCGTAAGGGATTTGAAGGTTATAGATGATGCTGATGCTGATGCTGATGCTGATGCTGATGCTGTTGCTGTTGCTGTTGCTGTTGCTGTTGGTGTTGTTGTTGTTGTTGTTGTCGTTGTCGTTGTCGTTGTCGTTGTCGTTGTCGTTGTGGTTGTGGTTGTTGTTGTTGTTGTTGTTGTCGTCGTCGTCGTCGTCGTCCTCGTCGTCGTCGTCGTTGTTGCTGTGGTTGTGGTTGTGGTTGTGGTTGTGGTTGATGTTGATGTTTTTTTGTTGTTGTGAAGAGAATAAAGAGAAGAGAAGAGAAGAGAAGACAAGAGACGAGAAGAGAAGGGAGGGAAGGGAAGGGAAGGGAAGGGAAGGGAAGGGAAGGGAAGAGCAAAAGCAAGAAACTCAGGCAATCTCATCCAGAGACTAGACAGACAGAGGAAGAGAGAACATCGCATGATAGCACCCAAGCAGAAAGGAGAGAAGCATCCAAGCGCAGGCGTAGAACAGGAAAGAAACAAGAGGCCAACAACATTAAAGATGTACAAGGGTTCAAGAACCAGGACCATATGTGCTAGGGTCAAAACATGGTATATCTAATATTATATAATGTAATATTGTATATATAATGTATGATCATCCATCTCACAATGGCAATCCTTATCATGGGCATACAAATCCCTATGAATGAATTCATGACAAATTGCTTTTATGAGAAAGTAACCCATTGGCCCATGTTTTTTACCATGGCACATCAAAGACAAAAAAGTAGAGAAATAAAACAAACACCAAAGCAAAACAGAAAGACCCAGAGAAGAAGAAAAGCAGAGAAACGAAAGCAGACAAGCCGAGAAGCAAAGAAGCAGCAAAAAGCAGAAAAGCAAAAAAAAACACGAAAAAACGGAGAAGGAGAGAAGCAAAGAAGCAGCAAAAGAAGCAGAAGAAGCAAAAAAAAGAAAAGCGAAAAAACGGAGAAGCAAAGAAGCAGCAAGAAGCAGAAGAAGCAGAAAAGAAGAAAAGCAGAGAAGCAAAAAAGCAGAAAAGCAAACAAGCAGAGAAGCAAAGAAAAAGAATTGAAGCAGCAAAATGAAAACGAAAAAAAAAACCTAAAAGGCACCCAAAAGCAGAAAGCAATGGAAGGTGTAACAAAAAGGACGGGAAAAAAAAAAACTCATCCGGAAAAAATATAAATAATCCCTTCCCGTAAAGAATGTTCGGCTGGTGCCAACTGTGAAGGATCGAATCGGACTCTTCAGATATTTTTCCGCGGACTTCAGGCAGATTTCAGACATCGCATTGCCATGCCCCATGAAAACACCTCCATGATCTCCAAACCCTAAGACTCACATAGACTCACTTCCAGCGGTCGCAACCAACCACCTGCCTTTCCCGTCTTTGTCTCGGAAGAGAAATAGGATTGGACGACCGTCGCTAAAGAGGTCAGCAGCTGTTTCCTCAGTCAAGGCATGTCAAGGCTATGAAAAAATCTAGATAGGATTCTCGAGGATGCAAGGGAAATCAAGGGAATCTGAGTGACCGCATTTATATGTTCTATCTCTTTCTCAGCCGCCATCGCTCTCCCTCTCTCTCTCTCCTTTCCTCTCCTCTCCTCTATCACATTCCAAATGCCGCAACCGGAAATACACGCGAAAATGTCCTACGTACCCAGTCAAATGGACGCAGCGGGGTTTGAGCCCGCAGGGGAGGGGGTAATGTTCGACCTGATTAATCAGCCTGAACGCCGGGGCCGCAAAACCAGTTCAACCTGAAACATCAGGAGCACTGTATCCAGTCTGCCCCCGATTCATTGCTGATGCAAACCCAACTCCAGCTAGCAAGCTAGCTTTCATGATTGCTCTTTTTCCCATGTACAGTTCCGCAACTTGTTGATTTCCACGTTGCAGCGTTACTCTGATCAATGCCAATGGGTTCAACATTGACTAAGATCATTAATTAAGAAACGGATTGAAAGAACTGTTTATTGACTCAGTAACCTTCAGATTGGATAATTACTGGATTGATTGCTACGAGTATCATTCAAAAGCCAAACTTTCAAATCACTTATTTCTGACTTGCCTATGACCCAATAGCCTGGCTTCAATTATTGATTATCTCATATCTCTCAGACCTGACTATGAATATGTACAGCTAGCTGGAATCGAGCATCATCATGTCTCCCGCATTTCACAATGGCTCAAAGTCTGACCAAGTTTCCCCAGAGAAATCTGCTACCATGGGGTGCCGATATGCTTTCACAAAGGACTCGATCTCCTGCAGGGACGGTCAAACAAAAGTGCTCTTGGCCAGAAGGACATGGTGAATTCTGACGGTCTGGTGCAGTGCTTTTCAAAAGCGTCCCCGATGTCCCCGGGACTGTCCTCCGCATTGTTCAAATCTCCGGTGAAGGCGGCAGATTGCTCATCATGTGGAAAGAACATTTTCAGTGATGGAGCGGTGGCCTGCAGGAAAAACCGCCAAACCAAATCAAATTGGGATTAAATTGGGATGCATAGATTGTGGATATAGCCTGGCGCATCCTGGCGCTGGAGTGAGCTCTTACTTCAGAATATCAAGAAGTAAAGGCTGAGGCAATGTCTGCTGTCTGAAAACACACTGGCAATGACTGCCTCCCGTACCAAGCCTCGTACTTACTAGCAACTTCAGGCACAGTGCTATAGGCGAACATCACATCCTGGCGGTGGATAGATTGTGGATGGTACTTGGGGAAGCCTTGGAGGTCTTGAAGAATCTGAAACTTACTAAAACCTGACAGGAAAGCTAAGTTTCAAAATGCTTCAAGTGTCCAGCGCCCCATTAGTGTCAATTGGATTCAATTGGAGAGAATTATAATGAATCCTAGAGAGCCATTCGTATGGTTATTTTTCAGTAGTTGGCCTTTCGTATGATTAATTGGAAACTCGACGTTGATTTTGGGATTCGTATGAGATTTTGATGGTTCGTATGGTTTTTTCATTTTCTATCATTTTATGGGGTTTTTCTACTCCCAATGCTCCATGTATGGAATATTGACCATCATTTAGCCAACAAATGATCCAAATGTAGGTATGGGAATGATTTTGGACCTTATCTATCTTATTGCCTAGCAGCTGTTGGGGTTTAAACAGCTTTTGTGGGTCGTCTGTGCACCCTTGGCTGCCACGACCGCGATGACATCGATGCCAAGAAGGTGCCTGACAGCATGTTTTAAACTCATGATTGGTGGGGTGGCAAGGGGTGGTAGTCAAATGATAATATCAATCATGTTTTGATCAAGCACTTGGTCAAGCAATGTACCCAAACCAATGGCATCCGTAAGTTTCATTGGCTCGATCTCAGTTAGCTCACTGGGCAATAAGTTGCTCCCAGTGCCATGGTGGTCGTCGCTGGGGCTGGGGAAGGCCAGGCCGAACCATGCCCGGTGATGTCGGAATGGCTGAAACTAGAGGCACTTGTCACGAGGGCTTCTCAGGGGAAGATTGCGCTGTATCACTCCAAAGAAGTTAGCCGAACCACGTTGGAAGACAACCATGAGCTGTTGATCCCTCTCATCAGCAACTATGGTATCTTGATTCAATTTCTGAAGATGTCTTTGGTTCCATTGCTTTGCAACATATTATATGTGAATAGTTCATATCATATCCCAACTTAAACACCTAAGGTATGCGACCGAGCTTGGCGTTATTGGAAGATCTGGTGGGTAGATTCTTATTCTACTGCAGACCTCGCGGTAAGCCAGTGCCCAAGGGTCCCTCGGCATGTACATGTCAAATCTGCCTATTGTCAACTGTCAACCATATTTCCTAGATCTCCAGATTCAACACAACTACTAGCATGACCCATCTTAGGTGACGACGTCAAGACTGAAGCCTGGATACTTCGGAACCTGATATCACTCTTAGCGGCTGCAGCCAGACGCCCCCATACACCCCGAAGCCGTGAGATGAGGATGTTGTTTAAGGCCATTGGCATTCCTGTCCCTGAGCCCACAGAAAAAGGATCTTTGGTGGCATTTTTTTTTTATGCATATAAGTTTATCGATATATGATTGACATATCATTTTAAAACCAGGACACTACCCAGCCTCCATTGGCATCCCTGTTTTGCCAGACTTTGTAAAGCATCCACCTTTGCCACAAGGAGCTGCAGCTGAAGACGCAGACGACCTCCTGAGCACAGATTGCGAGGAAGCGGAGTCTGAAGGGGAGCTTGCTGATGATCCTATGGTTGAGTATGATGAGGTGCATATCATGACAATTTATAATTTGATATCAAACATGCATCTGTTCTTCAGTATATATATATTCGTTATAAAGAGATGGGTGACTTGTCAGGTTGGAGAACAACAACATGAACCAGTGCCAGTTATGGATGGGCAGAAGGATGGGCCCAAACCTTCACTGCCTTCGGCCACCCTGAAGACCCAGAAGGTTCACTGTTCCTAGATTGCTTTAACTTAGGGCGTCCCCAAAAAATGGTGATGTAATACCCCATCATACCCCAACAGGCAAATATTTATTTGAGATATGGTACGTGTTCCATTATCCAATCCAAAATACCATAGAACTGTTTACTTTACATCTAAGGTGGTGGGAGTGAGTCCATCCCTGCTGAATCTCCTCGAAGCGTTGTGAGTCTTCATACACCTCCACCAAAGCCAGGTGCCTTGGTTGAAATTCTACACATCGTCTTAGAATGCAATGCTTCAATGAAACTGGGAAGTTTGATACTATCCATGAGTTGATGGAAATTAAGGTATGGTGGGGTCCCCTTTGTCTACGGCAAAGCACTCGCCACACGTTCCAATGAAGTGTGGCTACATTTGCAAAGATTGCAGGTTGTCGCACATTCATGTGGATTACCTTTTGGGAAAGCCATGTGCATCGAACCCTCATGGTGGACACAGCATTGTCAAGAAAGCTGTTCAGTGTCAGAACTGCAGAGCGTTAGGGGATTGTACCAATGAGTTTCTCAAGGAAACATGTTTGGGCAATTCTGTGAAATCTCTTGAAGCGGCTTGTGAGAAAGCCATCACCCCTGAGCCCCCAACTCCTCCGTCCATCGCTTCTGAACTTGAAGTTCCTGCAGCATCGGAGCTTGACAAAGAGGCTGCAAAGGTGGAGGCCCAGCTGTTGCAGGCGCAATCCAGGCTAGATAAGCTTCAGTTACTCAAAGAGTTGGAGATTGAGCGGGTCAAGCTTCAAGAGTTGTTGGCTAAGAAAACTGGGGAAAGTACTTAGGCTGCAATGTGATATAATTATATTATTTAACTGTTCAACTGTTTGACTATGTTTGACTGATCTGTCAAATCTTGGGAATCAAATGATGTCGTCGCTTAAGGTATGGACAACTTGGACACGTTGCCCATGGTGCCGGAAGAGGTTGAATTCGGCTTTGACATCGCCAAGCTGGCATCACCCCCGCAAGACAAGTCTCATGTGTTTGCTGTTCCTGAAAAGGTTGACAAGGCCTATCAAGTGATTTTGTTTTTCTATTATATATATATATATATATATATCTAATGCATTCCATGGTCAGGTTTTTATGCCTTACACATATGTGTAATTACAGCATGCATGCATGTGTAAACTCGTGCGCAGGTCGACAATGTCAAGGACAAGACGGACAAGACGGACAAGACGGACAAGACGGACAAGACGGACAAGACGGAGGTTGAGACAACGGGCTGTGTTGCTGCTCCTTTGGTCGCCTCGGTGGATCTTGTACCAACACAGCCTAGTGAGAAAGCACCAGAACTCGATGTTTTGGCCAAACCTGTTGTGGACACTGCCAGCAAACGTAAGCCAGCAGATGACAAACCTGGGGTAGTTGACACCGAGCCCTGCATTTCCCCAACTGAGCAGAACAAACTTTCAGGAAAATCAGGGCCCAAAAAAAGAGGTCGCCCACCATCAGCCAAAGCAAAGGCGAAGGCACGTGCAAAGGCACAGGCGAAAACCAAGGCGAAAGCCAAAGCAAAAGCCAAGGCAGTAGCAAAGGCAAAGGGAGCATCGGCAGCCAAAAGAACAAGGTCGAAAACACCTAAGGCTGAGGAGGGCGCAGAAGCAGCACATGAGCCTGAGAGCGAACACAAGACACCAGCTCGTAAAAGGTCAAGGATGTCTAAGGCGAGCACAGCAAGCAGCAGCCATGAAGGTGCAGTCAAGGCGAAGGATTCCAACAAGGATGTTGCAGTTGCCACCAAGTCAGCCAGCAAGCGCAAGCGAAAGGAAAAGGCAGAGGTTCAGGATGCAGGCAAAGAGGATACAGGTTCAGCAGCTGTGGACACAAAGGATGACAAACAAAGGACACTGGATGATCTCCCGACTGTAGTTCGCACAAAGCGCAGGGCTTCCAAAGTTTCAAACTCAGCACCTGAGACATCAGAGAAGGATGAAACTGATAGCACTGCAGCCACCAGCCACACACAGGACGAAGCCACCAAGAAGAAAGAGGAAGCAAAACAGCGTAACGCTAGAAAATCAGCAGCCTACCGCAGAGCAATCAAGAAGGCCAAGGATGAAGGTTTGAACGATGAGGATTGCAAAGCTGCTGGAAAAAAGGTTTTTTGATTATATTTAGCAAATTTCATTTGTGTCTTGACAGTTCTTTGGAAATGCGATATCTTGTGTTGATTTATTGAACCTATTGGTTTCGTGCGTGTCTAAGGCATATGCGGAGACCCTGTGAGGTCTGAGATCTGTTGATGTGGCGCTTTGAAATTTTTGGCGCAGAGCCATGGTGAAAGGTTGGAAGGAAAACAAACAAGTAAATACAATTATTCTTGTGTTCATATATGTGTTCATTTCCTTAGTGATCAAAAAATCATGTTGCTTAGCTAGTGGCTAATCGCTTCTAGGGGTGCACGTGGGGCCCAAAACACTTGGCCATTCGAGAACACGTGCTTGATCTGTGGGGTTGGTATGGTCGAAGTACCATATGTTAAGTCTTTTAGGGGCTTTAGATATCCATGGTCCCTATAAGGCTTCATTGAACATCATTGGACCATTTGCCTGTGAAGGACCATTGGCTGGGTCGGTGGAAAAAAATGTATGCAGCACCGTAGCTCACCAAGTGCCAAAGCATGATACATAACGAACCATATTGGTTAATTACCCTTTGCATGCCAGGTGCTTTGATCCTCTTGCATGCCAAGTTGGAAGGTACGCGCCCGCTTGAAAGGTGCCACCACTGCCCCTGCCCTGTTTTTTGTGCAAAGTATATGAATCCAAATGAATCCAATTCAGCCTTTGGAATTAATGTTGCTTCATCTTGGGGCAATGACATATATGTAACCGATAGGCCTATTTAGGCTCAGTTTTCCTAGCCAAACAGCTGGAGCCCGTTGTTCCAATGATCGATCGTTGCATTGTTCGATCCCTCCAGCAAGTGCGTGCCCCGAAAGTCCGACTCTTATATTTGTTGAGACCAACCCATAAACAAACATGCAATATGGGATTGTGGTGGGGCATGTGGTAGATTGTGCCTGTAGTGCCCACCAAGGTGTTGGTGGCACTGGTTTGAATCTTAATGGGAACTGTTGGAAAGCAAACGGATGGCAAATGGATCAACATGTTCGATACTTGGGGCATATATAGACCCACGAAAACAGGAAATCCCAAATCACAATTTTGATAATTTTGATCCCAAATATGGAATTTGAATGTCGATCTACATTCTGAAATTGTTGAGCGA